AGGAATTACTAAATCATCTCTAAAACCCCCAGAACTGACTGAATAATATGAACTCACTTGACAGCATGAGCCAGTAAAAACAGAAGTCACCCGTACGGATCTGGAAAGCCCTTTGTCTGGGAATATTCACCACAGACATGGCCAAGACTGCATTCCTTTGTACCAGAGCTTTGGGCTGAACCATCCCACTGTGGTGTGATGGCAAGGACTTCCTGCATGTCCCTCTTGCCATTTACAGGACAGATAATCTAACATTCCTCACGGCCTCCCAGAGAAAGTATAGTCACAACCTGGCCGAGCAGAGTTTGAAACTAAAACCAGTGAACCACTATTGTATGAACTTGATTTTTGGTTGGGTTTGTTTCTCATGAAGAGACATTTATGCAGTCAAACAAAATCTGCTCTGCTTAGAATCTGAAGATCACTGCAGCAGCATTCTCCCAATACCCATTTCATGACCACACAGGAAACTGAAGTGTAGCTACCTACACCAGTTCTATGGCAAAACTACTTAACCAAGAAAAGCACTTTGATTTCTTCTCTTTTTCTGTTCTCCTTGTTAACACCATGATTATTTCCACTCACTCCAAGTCCCKCAAAGTGATCATCTGCACTCCATTTTCTGGCACCTCCCCTATTCATCATCTTCACACTCGCCTTACAGACCCAGCACTCTCCTTCTCTCCAGCTGTCTTTGGCACTAGAACTCCTCATCTGCAAAAACGCAGATAATTTTCAACCTTTGTCACCTTTTTTGGGCGGGGGGAGAGGAGAGAGGTCAGTAAACGCTTTTCTACGAGCTTTTTAGTTGGGTTTTCCCTGTTTTGGGTTGTGARGGTGCAGCCAGGGTGCCAGTGAGCCGTGATCTTCAGGAGCTGCACCAAACAGGCGACAGCACAGCGTCCGGGGCCGGGGGAAGATAAGGTTGGACAATAGTTAACAGGGACCCACAGATACAAACACACTGCTGCAAGAAAGCCAACCATTCACAACAACCATCATCTTCAGGAGCTGCACCAAACAGGCGACACCACAGTGTCCAGGGCTGGGGGAAGACAAGGCTGGACAACAGTTAACATGGACCCACAGATACAAACACACTCTGCAAGAAAGCCAACCATTCACAACAACCATCATCTTCAGGAACTGCACAAAACAGGCGACACCACAGTGTCCAGGGCTGGGGGAAGACAAGGCTGGCTGTCCATTTAACATGGACCCACGGATACAAACACACTCTGCAAGAAAGCCARCCATTCACARCTGAGCTTTAGCTAAGAACTGGGCTAACACATGGCTCCTCACCTCAGCTGCTCACAGGGACACCTATTTTGGACCTCCATAAAGCAGCCATAAAGCCCCCATGTCCCCACAGCACTCAGTGCTCTGTCCCCTCGCTCTGCAGTCCTGCCACTGTCCCATCTCTGTACAGAGGCACACAGGCTCCTCTCAACACCACAGGCAAGCCTGGAGACAAGGCAGCTCTTGTCTGCAAACTG